AATGTTGCACCTCGGTGAGAGTGCCCTCTTCCTCAAGTCAACCCCGTCCTGCCCTTGCTCCCTCTTGTCGCTTCTCCTCATGCTTGTCACCTTTCACTTGGTGGTGCGCCATCTGTTCGCTTAAATGCCACATGCTCAACTACTTGCGGAGACACGGCGCCGGAACATGAATGCGCAAACTGCCGCGCATTATTCGCCAACCCAGCGGTCCAGAGGTTTGTTAACATTTCTAGTAACAAGTAGCGGATTCCGGAAACCTTTAACCCACAAGTGTTGCCATCCCTTGAGGCGGATCTTGTCCTTCCTTCGCCTTTTGCCGAGCTTCCTCCGGCGGAGGCGGCCTCATTGTACTTCATTGGGCTTCCACCGCCCTTCCGCCGAGGAAGAGATAGCAACTCGTCGGATCATCGAAGGCGGGCCCATTCCTTGAGCGCCCAAAATTAATTTCATATCTGGTTCGCGCGCGCGTGGCGGCCCCTGGGGCCCCCTAGGCGAGAAGTACCCCAGGCGGACCCCAGAGCATCTCCCCGAGAGGTCCCGAGCGGTCGGCGTCAAGGATGCTGGCACTCCCGAGGGCGGTCGTCGGAGCCCTCAAGGTCTAGGGAGCTGCACGGGAGGCCAAGAATTGGGATCAACAGGCGGCAGGCCCTCGAGCCCTTCCCCGAAAGATGGCCCTCGAGACCGCCAGCAGGGCCCCCGAGAGGCCCCCTAGAGGCCCCCCAGAGGCGCGAAAAACCTTCACAAGAGGCCCCGAGATGCCGCAGGAGGCCCCCAAAATACCGCCAAAAGGCCTCCCAAGCGACCCCAAGAAACCTCTCAAAGAGGCGTCTTGTCCACGACCCGGTTTGGCCCAACGGATGCCCCCGAAGTCATCGAGAGGCCTCAATATCATCCCTCCCTGTTCCTCCCCATCCTCCTCCTACTCCTCCTTCTCGCTCGCCACGAGCACACAACACGGGCCGGCGGAACGAGCAAAGCGCTGATATAACTTGTAACACGCGTGATCAATTTGGGCACTTCCCACGTGTCAGAGAAACACATGACCTTATCATTACGTGAAAGGAATATGACCGTGCCTGGGGTTTTCACACGTTGTCACGCCCTGCCCTTCTGCTTAACTCTGGGCTGCTACCACCATCGGCGCACACAACGAAGGTATTACATGCTCTCCTCGTATTACATTACACAGCGAAGATATTACATGATCCACTTGTTTCGGTCTTACATTAGCGGCACCACGCTTGCAAGTCTTACGAAGTTCTCCTGAAACCTTGGAAGACCTCATCCTCATACTTCTCATTCTCCCCCTCCTCATCATCGACTCCTCCCCCGCCTCATCCTCATCACCGCCACCACTACCCCTGCTCATCCGTTATCCCCCCATTTCTCCCAATCCGTCCAGAACCTCCCAGGAGTCAGCAAGACCCCACAGAACGTCTCAAAATCAGCCGACAAATTGTTGTTCTTCGTCGTGCGATCCCGCGTCACGGAGACCACGGGCACTGGCCAACAGGTTTGCTCAACGCGAAACAACCGCCAATGTTGTCATAACCGCTCCCGTGACTAGAGGCATCCTAGATGGGGTCGGAATAGATGGGATCGGCATGGAATTTCCATGGGAGCTTTACGACACATCAACGCCATTGTCCAGGGTGGCCTGGGCAGGATTTTTGTTCCACGAGTGTGATTTGACAAGATATATTAGCCAGCAGTCATATGAATGGTTGCGCCTGCCAACAGAAGTAAGCCGTTTGGGGGTTCTGAGGAAAACTCGTGCGTCGCGCTCCGCGACACAACAAACCGCCATTGAATCACGAATTGGCAAAAAGGCATCCCGCGCACGCGCGCAAGTGCTACACCTACTTTGCTGGTTCGGAGCCCTATCATTAACCGGCTCCCCAGGTTTGGTTGGCTCCCGCACTGCGTCGGTCCAACAAAAGGTGGAGGAGAAAGCGGCGCGTCACGAGTTGGAGGGCGAGGAGGAGCCCGAGGAGGAGGACGAGGAGGACGAGGTGGTGGGACAGCGTCACGAGATTGGACGTCCTGCGCATACACTGCTGCGAGCAGCAGGCACCCCAGGACGGCTCGCAAAGGGCCCCGCCTGAATTGATTGCCGTGGAGCTTGTGCAGCCAGGCCGCTCGCACGGCAACGGTGCTTGTTGAGCTTCCCCTCGGAGCTCATCTCAAGACGACGCCCACGATGAGGAGCCTCATCTGGCCTACGTTTGGTGCCCCTCCTGCTTCCAGCTACCTGCGCACTGCAAAGGTTACTTGGAGGCCTCTGCACTCAGTGAATTCAGTTCGTCTTTGGAACGGCTCCTGGCCAAAACTCACTTCGACTTGTTCGAGATCAGCTCGTCCGGCAGAAACACGGAGGCCGCGTCCTCGGAGGCAAGGGTCACATTGAGCTTCTCTGCCTGCGCTGTGACTGCCAAGATGAATGATTGCCGAAGCTCTGTCTTTTTCTTACCGATGTCAGGTGAACAGATGACCTTGATTTCGAAGCCATGGGAAAAGCCGCTCACGCAACACTTCTTGTACCCACTCTGGAGGACATTCTGGCTCTCGTCGATCCAGCGCTTGGCGAAACTGACGAGCTCATTGACCTTATCTGGGTTGGAAGATGGGCTCGCAGTGAAATTTATCAGCAACGGCTTAGTCGGCCGCCGGGACCAATTCTGGATCACGGAATCCGTCAGTTCGGAGAGTGGCAGGTACGTCTGCTTATAGTCGAAGGTCCGGATCAGCACATAGCTGAGGGTGACGTGCTCAACGAAGCCATCGATGCCAGTATCTGCGCCACGGCCCATCAGTTTGATGGTCACCAAGTCTCCGACGAAAAAGGGTTTGTGCGTCCAAATCTTGATCAGCATGGTGACTTGATCCCAGAACTTGTAGCCTACGAACACCGCTGTCAACAAGTAGTACACGAATCCGCACGCCAGCACCGAACCCGCATACTCGCTGATAAGGGTGTAGGATACGTACGAAACGACCGCAACCACATTTGAGCCAATCCTGAGCGGGTGCCAGACTTTTTCGTAGACCACGTCTGCGATGCCACGATTTCGGCTCACTGACATGAACTTGTCCTTCGCGGGGTTGCCAGTACGGGTCAGGCCAACGCTGTGGAGGATACCCTGCATCTTCTTGACAGGCTTCTCCTCAAGAAGAGAATGCTCGCACACCATGATCTGGTGGACAATGTGATCCAGGTAATCCATGAAACGCAGATATGACAGGGCGCACAGGGTAGCGAGGAGATTGCCGAGCGCGCGAATCAAGAAATGCTTGAAGTCATCTTTGGTCACCTCATCGACGGCCTCCTTTACGGCGAAGACTGTGATTAAAAGATACGGCATGACTGACGCCCTCGCCAGTGACGGCGAGAACACCGGGATGGCCAATAGAGTCACTGGCACCATGCAGAGGTATGCCTTGGCGACCCGACGCTTGTGCCAGTCCTCCTCAAAGATCGATTGAGCAGCCCCGCTGCCGCGCAAGTCTTCGTAGTGGCCGCTCAAGAGGTAGAGGGGGACCCCGACACCCGTGATCGCATATAGCACGACGAAGGCGACCACCACGGGCCTCTTGAGAAAGCTGTCGGGGAAGGGCTGCGGCTCGAAGTCCTGCCGCACCATCCGGATGTTGCTGACGATCGCCTTGGCAAAATCGCGCGAGCGTGCCGGGTGCTCGTCCTCGTCGGGCTCGGACGCGGCGGGGGGCTCCGCCTTCTTCGAGATCAGCTGGATCTTCTCGGTGTCATGCGTCATCGGGCAGCCCCGCTTCTGCTCGCGGGCGGCTCAAAAGCGCACACACCACAACGGGCTCGAACACGCTCCCAGAACGGAGGGTTGCCAAAATTGCTTGAGCCAAAATGGCTACGGCGGTGGTCCTGGGCAAGAGTGCCCTTTGGTGCGCGGCTTTAGGGGGTCGCGGGGGGGCCAAATCCCAACGCGCATGTCAGTGCTAGGCGGAGCCAGGTGAGCCCGCAGCGAAGGTCACTCCGACGAAAAGTCACTCCTACGCGGGGAATTACCATACATGACATCGATGCAGACATGTGTTCTTGTTCGGAAGATTGCGAGTAGGCACTTTGCGAGTAGTGGAACGCGCCCGGTGATACTATGACGCCATTGCCCAATGTGACCCTTCCAACTTACCTCCTTCCAGCTCGCCACGAGCACGCAAAATGGGCTGGCGGAATGAGCAAAGCGTGATATAACTTGTAACGCGCGTGATCGATTTGAGCACTTCCCACGTGTCGGAGAAACACATGACCTTATCATTACGTGACAGGAATATGAGCGTGCTTCCATTCTTGCATCGGGTTTTCACACGTTGTCACGCCATGCCTGCCCTTCTGCATAACTCTGGGCTGCTACCACCATCGGCGCACATCACACAACGAAGGTATTACATGCTCTCCTCGTATTACATCACACAACGAAGGTATTACATGCTCTACCTCTCTCGGTCTTACATTATCGGCGCCGTGCTTGCAAATCTTACGAAACTCCCGTGAAACCTCGGAGGACCTCACCCTCATACTTCTCCTTCTCCCCCTCCTCATCATCGACTCCTCCCCCGCCTCCTCTTCATCACCGCCACCACTACCCATGCTAATATGTTACCCCCCCGTTCTCCCAATCCTTCCAGAACCTCCCAGGAGTCAGCAGGACCCCACAGAACGTCTCAAAATCAGCCGACAAGTTGTTGTTTTTCGTCGTGCGATCCCGCGGTACGGAGACCACGGGCACTGGCCAACAGGTTGGCTCAACGCGAAACAACCGCCAATGTTGTCATAACCGCTCCCGTGACTAGAGGCATCCTAGATGGGGTCGGAATAGATGGGATCGGCATGGAATTTCCATGGGGGCTTTACGACACATCAACGCCATTGTCCAGGGTAGCCTGGCCTGGCCCTCAAAATGAGCCGACAAGTTGTTGTTCTTCGTCGCACGATCCTGCGGCACGGAGACCACGGGCACTGGCCAGCAGCTTGGCCCAACGCGAAACAACCGCCAATGTTGTCATAACCGCTCCCGTGGCCAAAGGCCTCCTAGATGGGGTCAGAATAGATGGGATCGGAAGATCGCGCCGCATCGTCGATGCATCACCGATGCGTCGGCGATGCATTGGCGACGCCGGCGATGCATCGGCGCCGTCGGCGTGGACAAAGGCGGGCTCCACATCCAGCCGCACCGCCGATGCATCGACGATGCGACGTGACCCCCCGACCCCATCTAGTATCGACAAGCGGGCTCCACTACTCACAAAGTACCTACTTGCAAGCGGCCTGGAATTTCCTGGGGGATTTACGACACATCAACGCCATTGCCCAGGGTGGCCCTGGGCAAGACTTTTTTTCCACGAGTGTGATTCGACAGGATATATTAGCCAGCAGTCATATGAATGCTTGCGCCTGCCAACAGAAGTAAGCCGTTTGGGGGTTCTGAGGAAAACTCGTGCGTCGCGCTCCGCGACGCAACAAACCACCATTGAATCACGAATTGGCAAAAAGGCATCCCGCGCACGCGCGCGCAAATGCTACACCTACTTTGCTGGTTCGGAGCCCTATCATTAACCGGCTCCCCAGGTTTGGTTGGCTCCCGCACTGCGTCGGTCCAACAAAAGGTGGAGGAAAAAGCGGCGCGTCACGAGTTGGAGGGCGAGGAGGAGCCCGAGGAGGAGGACGAGGAGGACGAGGCGGTGGGACAGCGTCACGAGATTGGACGTCCTGCGCATACGCTGCTGCGAGCAGCAGGCACCCCAGGACGGCTCGCAAAGGGCCCCGCCTGAATTGATTGCCGTGGAGTTTGTGCAGCCAGGCCGCTCGCACGGCAACGGTGTTTGTTGAGCTTCCCCTCGGAGCTCATCTCAAGGCGACGCCTACTCTGAGGAGCCTCATCTGGCCTACGTTTGGTGCCCCTCCTGCTTTCGGCGACCTCCGCACTGCAAAGTTTACTTGGAGGCCTCTGCACTCAATGAATTCCGTTCGTCTTTGGAACGGCTCCTGGCCAAAACTCACTTCGACTTGTTCGAGATCAGCTCGTCCGGCAGAAACACGGAGGCCGCGTCCTCGGAGGCAAGGGTCACATTGAGCTTCTCTGCCTGCGCTGTGACTGCCAAGATGAATGATTGCCGAAGCTCTGTCTTTTTCTTACCGATGTCAGGTGAACAGATGACCTTGATTTCGAAGCCATGGGAGAAGC